CTTGGCTTTGGTCTGTGGAAAGAGGAGGATGCTTGGCTGGGTAGGGGTGCTGAGCAGGCGCCTCCTGCCCCAGAGCTGAGGAGCTTTGCCCACCCCTGCCTGGAAGGGCTGTGGAAGGAGCTGGCAGCTGGAATCTCTGCACTGATGGGTAATTTTTGGAAGCCTGACCAAGGAGACTTCAACCTGGTAGACAGGGGAAGTGCTGAATAGATTTGAAGGGAGATGGCCTTAGAAGAATGTCATTAATCTAAGGTGACAGAGAAAGAGAACTGTATGGGACAAGTTGAGAAAACAGGGTGAATGGATGATGATTTTTCTGTCTGTATGAAGAGGAGGAAGGTTTTCCAGAAAATGCATAAATTTCTGGAAAGGACCTGAAAGGTCTGGAGTAACTTATCTGTCCACATTTCTCAATCAATAATGAGTAAATTATATCTGGGTTTTCATCTCCTATACAGCTATTCTTACCTATAGGTAAGAATTATTTGTTAAAAGCTTGGAAACCTCCTTGTAAAGGAAGAAAACCCCACTGAATTCTGTGTTATGTCAGCATTTTGTTTATGTAGTCTTACCTTTAAGAAGCACAGTTTTTAAAAAAGACTTACTTTATATGTATGATAATATAGTAATGCTCTTTATTGCTTATAATACATGATTTGAAAAGGTGTCCCAACACCTTTGTTTATAAGTTCTAAATATATTCCAGTCTAAATATATTCCAATCCAGTGACTTATTGTATAAAACCTAAAACAAATTTAAAGTAAAAAACCACCATTGTTGCTTTGAAAAATTGGTTTGTACATTTCTGCTTGAAAGACCCAATCACACAACACAGGATTCTTAAACCTGTAAGTGCCAATACAGACATTTCTATTAAGATTCAATTTAGTTTAAAATGGTTTTGAGTAATTTCTGACATCACAATTGAAAGAGTCATGCTTACCTAGTTTACATGCAGCAGTACACTCAAGCAGCAAATCTGAAGTATAAATAAAAGATTCTATGTCTATTACAATGAATTTACAGGAAAGAGATCCTTATTCCCTTTAACAGTTATTTATTCATTAACAAATCAAAGTTTTTAAACTTCATTGAATAAGGGTAAAAAAGTTGCCAAAGAAAATATGATGTATTGTCTGGAATTGTATGAACCAGTAAAATGACGGTACTGTGTATTTTTACACTAATGTCAATGAAATATCTCACGAGGTAGCTCTTACTTTTGTCTTTTTTAGGTTTTCTGCAGTAATTTTTTTTTTCTTTTTGGCTTTTTTTTTTTTTTCCTAATGGCAGTCCTACAAAGATGAAATGAAACCTTTTTTCCTCCTGATACTAAGGACAAAGGCTCTCTCTAAACATGACACAATACAATTTTGGTAGGAGAAAAAGAGTGCTATGCTTTATAGAAGAAAGTACCCATAGGGGACTACAATGAAAAGACAGTATGAACTTGATCAGAAACAAACGAAAAAGGGACTGTGATTCAGCTGTGAGTTTTCTCTCTCTTTTTTTTTTGTTTTTGTTTTTATTGCTTGTTTCTTTTTTTTTTGTTTTGTTTTGTTTGGTTTTTTTTTAATAATTCAGGAACAAATCACACTTTTAGCATCAGGAGCCAGCAGTTGTCTTCCTGGAAAAGTGTCTTGGATAAAAAAAATTATTCAGTACTCCATTTCCAGCAAAGAATGGAGGTAGCAGAAGAGACAGAGAAACTTTACCCTACCTGCATGTAACAGTTCTGATAAATGCAGCTCCCAAAGCTCAGTGCTTCTGTTTCCTTTGATGCCCAAAGAACTAAGAATTTGGTCTTTGATTCAATTGCTGCCATCAGCAGCTTGTGTGCTTTTGGTACCACTGAGAAGTTCCATCCAGGACATGAAAATCTGAGAGACGCAGAGCAATGAACCCCAAGGCCAGCAGCCTGCAGAGTGATGCAGCTTTTGTCACTTAGGTAGGCTGAAAGACTAATATTAATCTAATCTAAACTAGGCTCTGCTTATGCCTTCTGCTCCTATTTTGCTGTTGTATGTATTTCAATTCAGAAGCTGAAAAAATAATTGGCTGTTCATATAAATGAAATACATAGAATAAAAATACACAGGACAGTGCAAGATTAGGAAGATAACAAAACTAAGTAAATGTAGCTTTCATGCTAGAGAACTTATATTATTTCTTAAGTGTGACCAGGCATTAAAACATCTTTCCCAAGGATATTGCCTGATTGGCATCTCAGTAATAACCTCCTGACCTCAAATAGATTTCATAATTTATTATTCTTTAATATGCTTTGGGAGGTGATGATTGGTTTCTAACTTCATTCTGTCTTGAACGGGATATATAAACCTTAAACTTGCCACTTGCCATGAAGGACAGCGTGATCTGATGGAGCATGACCCTGTGGCTAAAGAGCCCAGTACACTCTGCTTCTAGAGAATTATCTTGTTTTCCTTTTAATGAGATCCTCTGTAGGCATTGAGTTCCTCTGGAGATGCTCTGTTTGCATCATCCTGTTCTGAGAACTTGGTTCCCTTTTGCTTTTCCTTGGGACTTCTGCCTTGCTGGCATCAGAAATGGCCCTTCAGCAGGGGAACACACCTTATACTGCTAAGGGCAGGGGGAGAGAGGGAGGGACCATAGCAGCACCCATCCATGTTTGTAAGTGGATTGTGAGTCATAGAGAATTTGAGATCATCCTGCTGCTCTGCATGTACTGCTGAAACAGGGATGAATTTCATGACAATATCAAATGATTTGTCTCTATCAACGTTAAGGTCTATTTGCTTAACCATTAAAAAGAAATGTTGCAACTCATTATAAGTTAGAAAAACTTTTTATTTGATGTCAATATACATCTATATCTTAAATCTTTGCCATGATATCCATTCTCTCTACTTGTCTAAGCTGATCTTTTTCAGGACTGAAGGAAATAAAGTTAAATAATAAAACAAATTTTATGGTGTTCTGTGCATTGTTCTGTGCTGGCTGACAGATGACAGTCCTGAAATCTATGTGTGCTTATCTAATCTCTTTCAGAAAGTTCAATATAACCTTACTTTTGAAAAGCATGCAACTGGCAGTATCTCTGCTAAGCCGCTTTTTGAATTCTTGAAGTGTTTTATTGAAAACATTCCAAATGTGTTTATATATATATAATATAGTTCTGTTGGAAAAGACTTCTAAGATCATTGAGTCCCATCATTAATGTAAAACTACCAAGCCTACCACTAAGTCAGCTCCTCAAAAGTTATGTCTGAATGTCTTTTGAACTCCTCCAGGGCCAGTGACTGAGCCACTTCCCTGGGCATCCTGTTACACTGCTTGACAACCCTGTCTGGAGGGAAATTTTTCCTAATATACAATCTAAATCTTCCCTGGCACAATCTGAGGCTGTGTCCTCTTGCTCATTACTTGTGAAAAGAGACTGACCCTACCTGGCTGCAGCCTACTTTCAGGCAGTTGTAGAGAATGTTCATCTTTTTCTCCAGGATAAACACCCACAGCTCCCTCAGGTTTGTATGTGACAATTTTTAAAGTTGTCTCAATGTTATGACATAACACAAGGAATCTGACTTAACATACAAAAAACTGTAGGAAGAAAATGACAAAACAATTATTTTTTTCTTGAGGGCAAAGCAGTATTAACAATAAACTACTTAGTCTTTGGAGGGGAGCAAAAAAAAAAAACTATCAGGATTATTGCTGAATATTATTAATGTTTATGAATCATGTTATGCAAAGGATTCCTGTACAGAATTTTACACAGCCTATATTTTAAACAGGTTCTGAAGCACAGAAACATGCCTAGTCTAAATATATTCTTTTTACAGGAAGATTCCTCATTTTTTCTTTTCTGATGTAACAGTTCAGCAGAGCAGAACATCATGTAATTAAAATACATTAAAATTTGCTCCCCGAGCACTTAGTTTTGCAGTGGTGAAGAGCAGAGGAAAAGTGGTATATGATTAAAAATAAGAATATGAAAAGTAATGTGAAGAAGAAGAAGAATAAAGTGAGGAAGGAATGGGAGACTTAGGGAGCTGTGAAAAAAGCTCATGTTGCACAACAATTTTTTCCTTGCCAACTGTTCTAAGCCCACAGTGTTAAAAGCCTTTAGCTGTACTGGGGGCCTGATAATTGTCTTTATTACAAAATGAAAAAGTAAATTGGATGGTATCGTGACTAGGCTGTACCACTTAAATTTGGATTCTTTTCTTTATGGGTAGCTAGAGAAACAAAAGGATCAGCCCCCTAACCAGTCTGGGTAAGGCACTAAAATTCAGAGTACAGAGACTCAGACCTGGCAATCCTTTGCTGCAGTGTGGGGGGCACAGCCACAGCTCCTGCTGGGATTCATGCTTTATTATGGACTTGAACTCTGGTCATGTCCACCAAATGGCTTGACCCTTCCAAGGCATTCAATTCACCAACTTTTGGAGGTGAAATCCAAAATTAAAAGCAAGCTTTAGAGTCTCAGCTTTACTCTGCAGGCTTAAGGGTTGTTTTTCACTCTGTGCTGCCAAACAATAGGGCTGACACAACAAATGTGTCAAATCCGCAATTTATCATCTGTATCAGTGCTGTGTAAAATTTATTAATCCCTTCAGGAAATAAAAATGCAGGTTTTTGGTTTCTATGCTTACTGTGTTTTGTAGCTGGAGTGAGCAGAGTTGGGGAGCTGAGTTGTAGATTTGCTCCCAGAGGCTTTCAGGCACAGCAGGTCAAAAGCCACTGTTTCACAGTCAGTGTTATAAATGCTTTCTGTAAATGCAAAAGATTAATTTTCATGGACATCCTAAGTCAATATAACGAAAATTAATTAATTAATTTTTTTAATACAAAATGTTATAATTAAATGTCCCTTTGATACTTACAGCAAGATTGTGACAGGTGTTTAAAACAGTTGAGTAATTTCATACAAATATCTCTGACTATTGCCATTTAATTTCACTACAGAAATCTTGCAGATATGCCAAAAGTATAATCTTCAAAAGAAGCTTGTTGCAGTCACAAGAAAAGATAGTCTTGTAATTGAGGTGCCACCTGGGATCACAGAAGGTCTGCTTTGCCTTTTTTCCTCAGCTCTGTGTCTGTTTTGAGAGTGACCTTTTGGGAATGTTCTCCAGTCCTTGTACCACTGTTGTGCACTCAGGGCTGATGTAGTGAGTATCCTGTGAACAGCTGTGGAATTTATATGGCATCAAAAATGCAGCTCACACGGTCACAGGGTGCAGATCCAAGGCTTCACAATTGAAAATTAGGCTGGGAAGGCAGAGCAGCAGGATGGATCACAGGGAGCTGAGAGCAGCAATTCATTATTCCTGCCTCTTCTCCCTGCCCTCCCCTGCCCTGGCTCAGGTCATTTTGTTCTGTCAGGCCATGGATGTCACTGTTTTACCATGCTCCATTTTCAGGGGCATGTTGACATTCCATCTCCAATAGACTTGAACCTGCATGAAGAGTCAAAAAATTCTCCCTGGTGCTGTTTTTGTTTCTGCAAATCAGCCTGTGTGTAATAGAGTCATACAGCCAATGCTACTGCTGCTTCTGCTGCTTGCTTACAAACTGCTTTCCCAACCTTAGCTACTTTGCAATGTGCAATTGAGAAGTTATTTACTATTTTAAGACAGGGATAGTGGGATGTTAGGGCATTGCGAAAGTATATAAGAATTTGTATGTGAAGATTATCAGATTATTTAGTGATTTTTAAGTGTTAATACTGAAGGGCTGGTATAGAAAGAGTAAAACTGGTTGTATGCACAAGAATAATTTGTAATAGCCTTTTTATTTGGTGCCCTAACTTAGGGTGCATTGTCATACTTAGACAATATCTGGGATTCAGGATAGCACTGCTGGTTCAGTAAAGTCCCATAATGTCCTGCCCCATCTGAGTTCACCTGCACATCTTTTCAGACCTGAGGATTGGTGTGTTATTTCCCAATAGGATGTGAGACTATTCTGTCAAAGCCTGGTGTTTTTACAGCAATCCATGTAGTAAAAAGGGGAACTGGAAAGTTTTGTCATCCCCACAATATTGAAAATTCACAGGTCCCTGCCATTTCAAACAGAACGAGTGGGGTTGGGACACAGCTGCCCATGAATGGAGCTCCGTATGGAGGGGTGTATTCAGGTAAATCAAAATGTCACTTTGTCCCTGGGATGGGCTGAGCTGCTCCCTCCCTGTGCCCTGCCACAGCTTGGGGTGCAGCTCAGGGCAGCTCCTGTGTGCAGGACCCAGGCAGAGACACTATTTACAGATACATAGGCCAGATGTTATTCCTGGCAGAAATTATTGTCCTTTCTGTGCGGATCCTTTCTTGTAAACTTTGTTTTGTTATTTTTACCTGATATTTAAAATAGTAGGAAGGAAGAAAGGAAACACTTTCTTCTGAAAAAAAAGCCGAAAAAAAACCCCAAAAAACCCCTGTATTTTTCTTCCAGGGCTTTCTCAGCCAACTTTGAAAAAGGGTGATGGTGAAGGAAATAAGTTTGTTAAATATCCTGAAAACTGGCCCTTTAGTTAAAAGGTCCAAGTCAATGTTGTACTATTTTTTCTTTAAGAACAGTTAAGAAAATGGGAGGGATTTTGTTTACAGAAATCAAATCCTATTGTAACAAAAACTCCAAACCAAACGAAAAACAAAACAACCTTTTTTCTCCCTTCCGTAAAAAGCCTTGCTGCATTAAAAAAAAAAAAGAAGATTCAGTTTTCTGTTGTACTTTGCAGCACAGCTTTAACTCTGCTTTAGTACCAAAGGCCAGTGTAGTAGGCAGATTGCCATATTATCTGGCAGTGTCTCAATAATGAAATGTTCTGGTCTTCTAGTAGGAATCCTTAGGGTACAGAACTGAAAATGAGATTCATGCATACTATATTATTTAGACATTTTAAACACCTTTATACTGAGGCTAAAGGCTTTTAGTTCCTATTGAAAAATATACATCACAAAAAAAAAAACCAAAAAAAAAAAAACAACAACAACAACAAAAAAAAACCCAAACAAATATTTAAGGCCTATATATAGAGCCATTGGCTATAAAGATGGGGGGAAAAAAATCAATATTGTTTTCTCTTATTGATTTTTTTTTTTTGTTCAGAACATTAACAGAGGGATTTAAAACAAACTAAATATCTGCTGTTATTAAAGTAATTTAATGTCCTAAGATCTAAAAGGTCTTTCTCTGAGTGTGACTCTCTCACAACTTTGGTCATTGACAAAGCAAACTACCCAACCTTCCCCTAGTGTTGCTACAGTGAGTTATCTTGCTTTGCTTTGTTCTGTGCTTTGTTTCTGTTCATTTGTTTTTGTTTTGCTTTGTTGGTTTTTCCCCTCTCCTTTTCCCAGGTGAGGCTCCATGCTTAGCTGCATGTCTTAAGTTCCAGCTTCTGCTGTTTCTGCTGCTGTGCTGGGAAAGTCGCCAGTGCACACAAATCAAAGTTATGGCTTTGCTTCTTTCCTCATGTTGAACTTCAACAAAAGCCCTGCAATGCAAAAGCTATAAAATATTCTAATTTCATGCCTTATTTTCAATAAACCGAAAAACAGGGGCTTTAAGCTGTGACTTTTCAGTTCATCATTGAAAGTGAAATTGCTGGCATTGAAAAAATTGTGGAGAATCCAGTCAGTTTGTGAGGGAAGGAAGAGAGGGAGAGATCTCTGATGCTGCCCTTTTTTTCCTTCAGTTCATCTCTTTTGGAAAGGAATCCTTGCAGAATGGTATTGGCAGTTTCAGAGATTTCCATGTCTTCCCTCATTTGCCCTGCTCATAAAGAAAAGGGCTGGAGCAGCCACTGGAATAGAAATGGGTGATCTATTATTCTGCCCCTTGCTATCATGAGTCATTTACTCCAGCACACGTGTGATTCCTATTCGACCCTGAGGGGGGAAGATAAATGCTCTACTTGCCTGAGAAAACTAAAATTTAAAAAGTCACACTTCTATTTCCTCATTTGTTCTGTTTGTGGAAGAGGTGATGAGCAGAAACCTTTATTTTCCTCATCAATTTTAAGGAAAATTGCATTAAAAAGTCATTGAATAGTTATGCATGACCAAAAGCAAATTTAGTGACCTTGCTAGGTGAGGCTGAAAGAGCCTGAACTGGTACAAACACACTGCTTGTTGGATCTACCTCTTCCTGGAGCTTGCTTTACTATGGCATTTTGAAAGAATCTATAGCAATATTCTGTTTGTTTCTACCTTTAAATGTTTGTATTGCATACATTAAAAAAAAGCAAACAAAAAATCTGACTCACATATTATCCCTAGTTGTAAGAAGTTAATAATTACTGAAAGTGGTTCTATCTTATTGAAATGCTCTTTCATCTCAAGAATTAAGACATCCTATCAATTCAAAAGGACTTTTTCTTTAGAGAAAGAATTATCTAAGCAGCATTTGGCTGTTGGCAAAGATATTGCATTGTTATTACTACCTTTATCCACTGAGGTTTGCTGCATCTATTTTAACTAAAATCACATTTCTTTAAATGATCTTTCAGTTGTGCATCTTCCCTGCACTTGCAGAAATGGAAATATTATTTCAAATAATTTTGAAATAGTCTACATCAACTGCACCCATTTCATCTGATTGCATAAAAATCTAGGGATTGCCACACTTTTAGGATATACAGTAAATAATATAGGCCCAAAGATTTTCAGGTGTTTCAAGTTTGCAGTGAAAGAGCCAAGTGCTGGATTTTGAAATGCAGCAGAAGTGTTAAAAAGCTCAGTGTTGGAATTAGAGATGTTTTCAAATAACTTCAGTTATGTCCTTTAGAATGAGCTTTCATTTTCACTACAGCACATGAAAGTCTGAAGTAGAAACATTTTTTATAGTCACTTCCCTGAGCTGGTAAAGGAGGAGGGACAGGATTTTTTTGCCTCCTTGTCCTCAGAGATTCCCACCCTCATCCTAAACAGCAAAGTAGAAAATCATGGCCACTGTTGTGTGTTTGGAACTGGCAGGTTAGATATCACCAGGAATCCTGCAGGATGTGTGCACATCACATGCAGGGACTCACATTAAGGAATTTGGAGATGTTGGGAGAAGTTTGATGACCAGAAATTAACGGGCAGCCAGACTCTGCATGGAAGTTTCGTGACTGGAAAATAATTTGTATTCTGCCCTGTGGTTTGAATGTACTGAAATTTGTCACATGGTAGCTAAGAGAGGGAGATGCAGCCTTGCAAAGCCCATTGCTGGACAACTTGGCTGACCAGGCAAAAAAAGAAAAATGAAATAAGCCTTTCACATGCTTATCACATATGGGAAGAGAGCTGCAGTGGGAGCTGGGTCTGTGTGAGACAGTCAATGTGCAGTGCAATGAAGTGGTGGGTGGAAGTTTTGCCTTGCTCCTGAGGCAGCAACAAAGGAGAATTATTGTGGCTTGCCTAAACAGGAAGGTAAAAGGGCCTTACAATTTGAAGAACAGGAATTATTCCTCTTACAGAACAGCTCTGTCCAGGTGAAGTTTGTGTGTGTGAGACGAGACAAGCCCAGAACTGCCTGAAGTCTGTTCTGTAATGGAGAGCCTGCACCCACACTCTGCAAGGGCTGCGCTCATGGCTCTCTGCACTTTCAGCCCTGGCTCTGGAGGAGAAAGATGGGAAGACCTGAAGGAAGGAAACTTCATTTTCATCTTTAGAAAAATATGGAATTCTAGAATATTCCTAGGACTAAAACCTTAGGGGTACTGTCACTAAAGACAAAGTTCAGTGACAACTTGCAAAGGTGCTGCATTGGAAGGGACTGGTGGATTTTGATAGGGATATTGAAGTAGATAAGAACTCAGGTTTTTTTACTTTTTAGGTGTGTGTCTGCTGCACTTGGAACCCAGAGAATACAAATAGGCTTGTAACCTCTTGGTGTTTATATCTTTGCAGGGGTAAGAGAGAAAAATAATGGCTTGTCTTCAGTAAAGCAGGAGTCAATATTGTTTGTGTCTGAATTATGCATGAGAGCCTCTATTTTATGAAAGCTGCTGATGTTATAAGCAGTTTGTAATCCATATTTTTGTTTCAGATATTTACATCCTGCTAATAATGTGATAATTTCATGTGTTGTGTACAGTGTAACTCATGCCCATTTACCAATGCTTCATCTACTTTATGAATGTAATTAAACAGCCTGATCTGGAGTGGTGAGCACAGAGCTGGATTTGAAATGCTCATGGATACTTCATTGTAGCTAATCTTTAGGCATGGAAAGCTATTAGCACTGCTGAATAATAGCTCAGAAGTGTCTTTCATTATATCTATATCCCTAATAGACTTTGCTGCCATGGAAAAAAAAATAATTCTAATTTTACTAGGAGAGTCTCCTGCAAGTTAATTTTATGAAAATGCTAATAACTGTGGGAGTGCTTGAAAGAATTTAGAGAAATTCCCATTTTTTCCCAATATATCTCTTTAGTGCTGTTTTAAAGAAATTTATGCTAGTTGCTGTCTGTGGTTTGGTCTATTTTTGTATAACTTTCATGGCCATACACATTTTCAGCATTTAAAGTTGTTTCAAAGCTCCTAATGAAGAGAATTTTAGTACATCTAGGTATTAATAATGCTGCAGATGTAAGCTAAGCAAAAATTAAACAGTTTACATTACAAAATGAACCCCAAAGGATAAAAAAAAAAAATATCCTTTTGTGTAAATTATAAATTTTCAAAGGTGAAATGAGAAGTCCAAAATTGTCATAATTGTGGTAAATATTCTCTGAAACAACCCTTGCAGTGGCATGTGCTAACTTCTTTGTGTCAAATATTGTTAAATATCAGATATACCCTTTTGTCAACTAACTACAGTATTTCAAACAATTTATCCTGCAGGCTTCCTCACCAGGGAAAAGGAAAGAAATAATCAGAAATAAAGCTGCACACTATACTTTTATCAGGTTTAGAAAGTCTAAATTGGTAGAAAGGAAATATTATTCTTGCAGAACCCCTTATTGATTCTTAGTAACTCGAACATAATAAATTTTATATGTTTCTATTTTATACAAAAAATCCAGATTATATTCTTAATATTTTCACTTCATTTTACCTCCCAACAAGGTTGATTATTTGTACGTCTGTGAGCGATCTTCTGCTGCTCTCTTGGAACAGTAAATCCAATACAGCTGTACAAAAAGGGAAATTTTAATGAGAAGCATAGTGCAAAATATTTTGATTAATACTTCAGTTCTTTGCCAGAGTGCCACAGTACTTTAAGATCTGAGAAAGCACTAGCAGAGAAATCCATTGTAAACCATTGACTTGAAATATTCAGATTTAACCCTAAATGTTTGTGAGGATTCACTTTCCCAAGTGCTGGCTTCCAGTGCTGGGTGTAACATAAATACTCAGCTTTGACTTGAAAACAAATAATCTATTTCCTGCTAATATCTTTCCTCTTCTTTCTCTTCCCCAGGCATGACAAATGGTCTGAGATCTGGATTAGTATTTTTGTCGCAGAAGAAATGGTTATGCTGGAGGGAGCTGCAGGGACATGACAAATCTGAGCTCTTACAGCTGAGGGTTCTTGCTCTCACCTCAATTAAAAGTTTCAGTGTGACACTGCTGGAGGTTCCCTTGGCTTGGCCACCAAAAGTTTTGGTAAACATTAAAAAAAATAACTTTTTTTTTTCATTAATAAGGATTTGTAACATTATATTCCATGCTTGCTAAGGAAGGACTAAAGGGATGACTAAATATGAGATTCTCTACAAAAGTGGAATAAATAGAAAATAGAAAGCATTATCTTTTAATTTTTAATTTCTAGAAGAATAAGGGATTTTCACCTTGATTTTATATGCTTTTTACAATTAAGATAAGAAGCTCACTGTTAAAATCATAAGAGAACCTGTTGTCATGGGATTTTTGTAAGGCAGTTCTTATTTAAGCAGTGAGTGGCCTCACTGAGCCCCACGATAGCCAGGGATATCTGAAACTGAATCATGTCAAAGGACATTTCTTCCAAGTCCTTATCTGATTGACAGCTGCCGGGTTATATTTCAGTGTTAGTTTTATAGATCACTGCTTAGAACAATTGCTATGTCAGGGTAATCTATTTCCAGTTCTATAAATCAATTTTTTGTCAAATACTGAGGGTAAATCTTGAGGCCACAGTGGATATCTTCTTGTCAGTGACAATTGTTGAGGTCTTTGTCTAAGAGTTGTCTTTAATACAACAGGAGCTACACGGAGAAATTGTTTGTTGGCAGGCAGTAACACAAGTTGGGCTTTTTAGAAGAGAGGCTTCTGTGTTCTTTAGAAGAGGTATTTCAAATTTACATTGATATTCCAGTGAATATCTGTTCTGGAAGGAGTCTTTCTGTTGACTTCACTAGGGTTTGAACTGAGTTTTAGAACTCTTTCTGTTGACTAATTAATATTATATTATAGAATATATAAATATAAAATAAAACCTGTTTTTTATACACGATATATATGCCAATTACTTAACCTGTTAAATATCATAAAAAAAGTATGCCACTGTGACTATTGGGTATGAGGGGAACACCCTTCAGTTAAAGTATGAAGATGATGATTAATTATTTGACCAGAAAAATGGAGTCCTAAGCTGCTCTGGCACACACTAACTCTGCCAGTGGGCACTCTGTAGCGGAGCCATTTTTCTTAACTAGTCAAATTTCTGACACTCTTAAAGCAGGTACTGACTGGATACAATTTTGGGATGTTAGATTTATTGTTTGGAATCATTCAGCTGAAATAAAAACAATGAAGTGTACCAAAGTAAATGAGGAGCAACAAAGATTATAATTGATAGGTTTGTTTTTGTTGTTGGTTTTTTTTTTTTTGTTTGTTTGTTTTTCCTGTGCCGCTTACTATATTCTTTAATGCTTATTTTTGGATTATTGTGATCTATTCAAGGCTTAGAGAATCAATATATGTTCAAAGAAATCCTGTTACTTTTAGCAGTAGATGGAATTGAATGGAGGAAACTATAAATAGTTTACTTTATTTTTAATTAAGCTTATGGTTGTAGGGCTGATGTTTGAAGCAGTGACAATATGGAATTTGGGCTTAAAATACTATCAGAAAAGAATTGTAACAATAGTTCTTAGTATCTCTTAGAGATCTTTGTGGTTTTGCTGATATGCATCCCTCCTGCCCCGGCTTCAAAGTGCTGCAGGGTGGGGAAGGAGCCCTTGGTCAGGCAGTGCTGCTGCTGCAGTCCATGGTAAATCCCAGCTGCCTCTGTCCTGGGTGGGATTTTAGCAGCAGGGCCTGACAATGGAATAGCTGAAAGCTGCCTCAGCCCAGTGTTCATCATCAGCCCAGCTGCTCAGCAAGCACAGATCTTCCTGATCCGAGCCCTCCGCGCCCTCCCCACTGTGGCTTTTGGTTGAAGACAGATTCAATTTAAGATCTCTGGCCATATGCTCACAGCTTCCCATGGGACTGGCATTGGCAAGCAGATTAAATTGTTCTGTGCAGACGTGCCCAGAGACAGCAGATTGTGACTTGGACTTTTCAGAAGTATGGGATGCAAAGCTTTAATGGGAATTTGGTTTAGTTGGTAAGTAATATCTTGCAAGACAAGTATCCATGGGGCTCTCTGTAGTTACTCCTGTTTGAAATCCCTGAAAAATAAACCTTAATTTAGCATTTTCCCAAATATTTTTTTAATCTTTTGGTGGAAGTACATACAGTCTTGAAATTTCATCCTCTTTCATTTCCTTGAGGTGCCAAAATAGATTTTTAAAACTGCTTTTCAAACATTTCCATTTTATTATTCTAAGAAACAAACCCCAAAAACCTGAAACCAAAAAGAGAAAAGAAAGTTATTCCATAAAGATTTTAAAATACTAAGGAGACATTTTCTGGGGAAGATATATGAACCCACCTACATTTAGAATAAAATGTTCAGGGTTTTTTTTAGATTGTCTTTGCCTCAAACCATATAAAGGATATAATAAGTGAAGCTTTCCTTTGAACCTGAATTAGGTAGTATATGTAATAAACCATGGATCAGGAAAGTGCTGCCAATAAGGAGAACCTTTATTTTTCTTTCTTATCAAAAGTTTGGGCTCGATTGCCCTTAATATAGGCAAAGAAGTGGCAAAATTTAACAGGAAAGGAAGAGAAAATGGGAAAGGGGGAGTGTCCACAGCCAGCTTCATGTGTAGGTAGCATTTGATTGACAGGGTCACAGTCCTGCTGCAGCTATTTCTTGGTGAAACACGACTGGTACCACTGAAAAATCACCTCAAATAGCAAAAATAACAGGGCTAAATATTTGCCAGACTAGCAGAACTTTACACATGTGTTGTGAGCTCAGTAATCAATACAGTTGATCAAGAGATCTCTTCTCCTTGTAGATCTGTAGCAAACATGGAACTGGACTGGTTTGGGCACCTAAGGTGAGTTTGCACTTAAGAAACAATAGTTCCTGCAAATTTGCTAGGGAAGCTTCTAATGCATGGCCAGCTTCTTCTCCCTTCCTTGCAAAGAAAGCACTGAAAATACTAAAATTGCAAAGATAATTTTTTAAATATGAAGTCATGTCAATAAATGAAGTATCCAGGTTTATTTTCATGCAGAATCCTGTTCAGATTCCTATTCCTCCCCCGAGTGTGTTTTTTTTGTGCAGGGATGATTAATTTTTGCAAAGGAATGTATATCTGTGGATTGTTGCATCGTTTTGGTCATGAAAATCAGCTTGAAGCACCAAGGAACAGCTATGAAATAATTTCTCTGATTTTGCAAATGTGACATTGTTTTGGCTGAAGAGTAGCAAGATTAAGAATAGTTGATGAAAGTTCATGGTTTGCCTTTATTTAATTTAATGGTAAATGAGGTTGTGAGGAGGTGACTGACACTTCTTATCTGTTGTACAGGAAAATGCAAGACTGCAATCTTGACAGAGTTAAATGAAAAAGGCTTTTTTTAACAGCATGCAAAAATGACTACATGTAAACAAAATAGGCCTCTATAAGGTGTTTAATCTGAGCAAGTCTTTAGGTTAAAAAGGAAAAGGACAAGAAACACTTCTTTGTTGAAATATTTATAGAATCTACAGCAAACTTCCAGGGGTTTTTGAAGTTCAAGAATATGTCTTATCTGCCTCCTGAGACCAAAGAATCAAAACTTAACTTTTATATAAGTCTCTAAGAAAAGAAAGCTTTTCAGTGTGGGTCTGAAGAAGAAATCATTTCATCTGTATCATCTCCCTGACACACATCCACATCTGAAAATCACCTGTCTAAAGCCCATGGAACTGAACTTCCTGCGGCTCAAGGGAGGGGAAATCCTGCTTCAACAGGAGGCCAGATCTTGTAGCACTGGTGCAGCTGATGCAGTGGCTGAGGTCTCACTGCCACTGAATTGGTGCAAAATGCTCTGGAGTGCTGAAGTGATTGCTTCACTGCTGGAATAATTACAGAATCACAGAATCACAGAATAATGAGGTTGGAAGAGACCTCTAAGATCATCAAGTCCAACCTGTGCCCTGACACCACAACTAGACTATAGCACCAAGTGCCAAGTCCAGTCTTTTTTTAAACATATCCAGAGATGGTGATTCCACCACCTCCCTAGAAAGACAATTCCAGTATTTTATTATTATTTCAGTGAAACATTTTTTCCTAATATCCAACCTAAACCTTCCCTGACGTAGCTGAGGCTGTGTCCTCTTGTTCTGTCAGTGCTGCCCGGTGGAAGAGATCAACCCCACCTGTCTGCAACCTCCCTTCAGGAGCTGTAGAGAGCAAGAAGGTCACCTCTGAGCCTCCTCTTCTCCAGGCTAAACAACCCAAACTCCCTCAAACGTTCCTCACAGGGTTTGTGTTCCCAGCCTCTCACCAGCCTCGTTGCCTCCTCTGGATGCACTCAAGCATCTCAATGTCCTTCCTGAACTGAGGGCCCAGAACTGGACACAGCACTCAAGGTGTGGTCTCACCAGTGCCAAGTACAGGGGAAGAATGACCTCCCTGCTCCTGCTGGTCACACAATTCCTAATGCAGGCCAGGAGCCACTGGCCTTCTTGGCCACCGAGGCACATTGCTGGCTCAAATCCAGATGGCTGTCGCCCAGCACCCCCAGGTCCCTTCCTGCCTGGACACTGTCCAGCCACACTGTCCCCAGCCTGTAACACTGTAGGGGATTTTTGTGTCCAAAATGTAGAACTCGGCACTTAGACTTACTAAGCTTCATGCTGTTGGCCTCTGCCCATCCGTCCAATTGATCCAAATCTCTCTGCAGAGCCCTCCTTCCTTCCAACAGATCAACACAAGCTCCCAGCTTAGTGTCATCTGCAAATTGCCTGTCCCTTCGTGTACCTGACACCATTGCACAGACTGACCTGTGATGTGGGGTGGCCTGGCAACCAGGGATCTGGATTGCCACAGAACAGCTGGATTCCCTGCAGAACCTGGGCTCAAATGACTGATTTCACACAAACTCCATCAGGAAGCAGGAAGTCTTGTTGGTGCTTTTCTGCTGCTACCTCAACTTTACCTTTTTATACCCATCAAAAAATTT